TCCAGAAAGAAACAATTCAAACATTATGAAACCACAGTCAGCATCACACAAGATTTAGCAGTTACCACTACAAAGGAGCAGAAAGCTTGGAATGTCATTTTCCGGAAGGCAAAAGAGCTAAGATTACAACCAAGAATAACTTACAAAGCAAAAAATGACTGTAATTCTACCAGAGAAAAAATTTACATTTAATGAAATAGAAGGAATTTCAAGTATTCCTGATGAAAAGACTAGAGCTGAACAGAATGACATTTAATAATAAGACTCAAGAGAAGCATAAAAACGTAAACATGAGTGAAAAATCACAAGAGATTTAACAAGGTTAAACTGTTTACATTCCCATATGGGAAGATGATACATATAACCTCTAAGAACATTATCATCATTAAGGCAATTTGAAAGAGTCTACTTAAATAGAGGGCATGGATATGAGAGAGTCTTCTTATGGTGAGATGATCTCAAAGGAAGAATGGAAGGGTAAGAAAGAGGGATGCACTTAGACAAGGGGAAAAGGAAAGGAAGACAATGGAAAGTTCTCTCACATAAGAGACGTGCAAAGAAGAGTTTTTTACAATGGAAAGGAGAATGAGACTCCTACTGTAGGCAACACTCAAACCTCACTCTCATCTAAATTGGTTCAAGGATAGAAAATTCAAGGAGAGAAAAGAGGTGGAAAAGGCTCATAGAAATGGGGGGAATGAATTATAAGAGGGAAGGTTAATTAAAGGGGACAGCTGTCAGAAGCCAAATCCATTTTTAAGAAGGGGACAGGGTAGAAGAGAGAAGGACAGATAGAAGAGAATAGGATGGAGGAAAATACAGTTAATTACCATAACTGTGAATGTGAATAGGATGAACTCACTCATAAAACAAAGGATAGCAGAATGGATTAGAAACCAGAATCCAACAATATGTTGTTTACAACACCACAATGGAAAAAGAAGGGACAAACAAAATTAAAATAAGGGGTTACAGCAAAATCTACTATGCTTCCACTGAGGTAAAAAAGGCAACAGTAGCAATTATGATCTTAGACAAAGTAAAAGCAAAAATAGACCTAATTAAGAGAGAATTAATGAAAAGAACAGTGCTACTTTGGACAAAATGTTAATGAAGACATAGAACATAAGCTCTCTGAGAAGAGGGACTGTTTCTTTTTTGTCTTTGTGCTCCTGGGCACCTAAGCTTAGTATGTAGTAGATGCTTTTAAAAATGCTCACTGAATTGAAGGACATTAAATATTAAGAATTTAAACCAAAAATAAAAGTAGAGACAGTATTACATTTTTAACAGTAAATATCAGTTTACCCAGAATCCAAATGATTAGGAAACACAAATAGCCAGAACTTTGTTTCTCCATATTCTACTTCTATGAGGAAAATACTGAAAAATAAAAATCTTTAAAAAGCAACTTTCGGGGAATATCATAGATTCAGTGACAACACAACTCATTATCATAAATCTTAACATTTACAATAACTGACATCCAAAATGATGACTGAGAGGTACTATATGATCTTGAAAGGCTTTATGAATTACCAGTGATTAAACTATCTTCAGTACAGCTTTAGTATCAAGACTAATTGCCTGAAAACTGGTCCTCCAAGTATGGCATAGATCAGGACACAGAAACCTTTCAAAAGTGGTATGCAGAGATCGTGTTCCCTTTCTATCTGGTGTGAATAAATCTGAAAATCCTCTCCACAATCTGGCTCCAATCTCTATTTCCCTAACACATCCCTTCTTTACATAGTTTACACTCTAGGCAAATTCACCATTTCCTCAACAAAGGTATCTCTCCATTCCTTGCTTCTGTGACCTTACTCATAGGCAACTCTCTATGCCTAAAATACCCTCCCCCAATCCATCCACATTCTTGCCAATTAAAACGCTTATCACCTTTTAAGGCTTACCTAAATAAACGCCACCTCTTATGTACAATCCTTCCTGACTGTTCTAGCTAGTAATGATCAGGGGATTCTGAACCTGAGGGATCTTTAGAAATTCTCTAATCATGGGATCATAGAATGAGAAAAGGAAAGGACTACAAATGATATCTAGTCCAATGGTGTCAAAGTCAAAAAGAAATGGGGCGCACTAATCTGGGGCAGGTAGGTTGCACAGTGACTAGAATGCTGGACCTGGAGTCAGGAAGACTTATCTTCCCGAGTTCAAATCCAGCTTCAAATATTTATTAGTGGTGTGACCCTGGACAAGTCACTTAACCCTTTTTGCCTCAGTTTCTTCATATATAAGAAGGAAATGATAAACCATTCTAGTATCTTTGCCAAGAAAACCCCAGATGAGGTCATGAAGAGTCTGACAAGACTAACAACTCAACAACGACAACAAACTACACAAAAGGATCCCTATGGGCTGTATATTAACTTGGTTTTAAAATGTGATCTTATCTATTTTTTTGTAGTTTTATTTATTTTTTTAAGCATTACCCAATTACATTTTGATCTGGTTTAGGCTGCACTCAAGGCTTAGAACCTCTGCTCTAGCCCACCCACTCAGTTTATATACGAAGCCTATATAGATTCCATGACTTGCTTGGAAAATGTTCCAAGAGCAGCAGACATCGGGTGGCAGAAATTCAACTCACGTTCTATACCAGGCTGCCTTTTTGCCTCTTCACTCTACCTGTCCAGCTAGAATACACTTCACCTTCCCCATCCAAATCTTAGTTATGCTTCTAGGCCAGCCTCAATTCCACCTCCTTTCCCAATTATTCTTACTGGTATCTTTTCTAAACTTCTATAGCATATATTGTCTGTACCATTATGCCAGTCCTTGATTAACCATGAACTGCATTATTTTATTGTTCCCTCTCTTTCATATGTGTTTTCATGCATTCCTTGAGGGCCTACTACTTCTTTTGTACCCTTGCCACCTACCCTATCCCAACAATGTCAAGCCTATTACTTCAACTTCAAATACTTTTAGAAATCTGTAATTTTATCCAGGTGGTGCTTCCACCACCAATGAAGACAACAACTTCTTCATTTTTTAGTAAACAATTTTATGAGTAGCAGTGGGCAAAAGAAATTCATCACCTGGTAGACAATGTTCTTGTCCAATCCTCATTTTAGTAATTAGGAAATGGACTTGAAGAGGGGAGGTGACTTGCCCAAGGTGAAATAATTAATTAGCACAGCCAGGGTTTAAACCCAGGTCCTCTGACTCTCAAACACAGTACCCTTCCCCTTACTTATCAGTATATTCTCCATCTTCTAGATTCTTGTATCCCTTTGTTTATGCTTATCATGCATTCTTGTGTTATATTTGTGTATATTTCTTATTTACCCTCTATAAAACCATTAGCTAATTGAGGACAGGGGCAAAGTCTTACCTGTCTTTTTCCTCTGTACCCCTAACCCTACCTAATGTTTACAAAGAACCTTGCATACAGTAGGCACTCAATGTTGATGCTATAAAGGTGCTGAAGATAGAAAGGGGTACCAGTTTTGGACTGACTTCCAACTCAATGCAAACACTAGCAACCAGTCAATATGATATCGTTTGCCCACTCTTGGCATATATAGATATTATATAGATGATAAATATGATATGTGTCATATATGATTGAGATATATAGATATAGATAAATAAAACAACTCCCAGTTAATCAAAACATCCTTTTTTCTAATCTTTATCAATAAACAGGAATTACTGTAAGCTAAGTTGAAACATATTTGCTAACGGTTCACTTTCAGAAATACTATAATTAAGGACCATATGACTTTTCAATGTGCTACAGAACTCACCAAATATAATTCAAACATCTTTATTCCAAGTGATGCAGCAAAGTATAGTGGAAAGAGCGAAGTACTTAAAAGTCAAGAAGACCTGGGTCCAAATCCTGATTCTGCCACTTCTTAACTGTGTGATCCTCAATTTCCTTCTCTGTTAAGTGATGGACTAGATCATCTCTAGGCTTATTCTATCTTTAAAAATCCTACAGTAACTTCTTAAGAGCTTTAGATTCTCAAGGTCCCTTTGCTTTAGAAAGGTCCATTGGCCACAATTTATGTTTTAATGCCATAGTCCCTACTTCCACATTCATCCCTGTCTCCAACTTCCAACTCCTTACACTGTGCCAATAATCTATATCCCCTAGAGAGACACTCGGCACAAGCTTCAAATACCACTGCCAGTGCTCATAAATTCCCATCCCTCCAGATTGTGGCAGAAAGGAACTGGCCCTACAGTAACTACTCTGGTTACAGTGTCTCAGAGCACAACTGCAATTCATGGAAGCATTTTGTAAGGAGTGTGTTCCATTGGGGAGGTGAAACATAAAAAGGAGAACTTAGGCTATAAATAGTTTATTCCTGCAATTCCTGATGTTAGTTGAATCATACTTTAATGCAGAAATCCATGAAAGCACCACTTTGGAAATGACATTTGTTACCACCTCATAACTCTTTTCAAAAGGGTCTTCCATCAGAGAGACACCCAGCTACAAATTATAGCTAAGAAAACAAAACTCCCAGACACAGACTTATTAACAGGCCATAAGGAAGGACACCAGGACTCCCAAGCATGAAATAGTTGCTATATCAGTTGTCAGTACATCTAGTCTTAACTCCTTAATTTTACAGGTGAGTAAACTGAGGCACAGGGAAGTGATGTACCATGCCAGGGGCTACACAGCCAGTCAGGAACAGAACTGAGACTAAACTTCATATCTCTTGACTCTAAAGACAACGTACCTCACTGCATCATGCTATGGGGTAGATTTTTCACACCCACTGAAGGGTTAGTCAAAAACCAAGAATGTTTCAATGCCAATCTTTCTTCATTCAATTGAAAGTATATTGGTTTTTAAAAGTCAGATTCAACCAAACCAATTCAACAAGCGCTTGCGAAGTTCTACTACGTGTAGGGCACGGTGTCAGACAGATGGCGGACATAAGAACAAAGTGAAGAAGTGTCTGCTCTCAAGGACGTGATATTCTCCACCCTGTTTTCCCCAGTTCCTGGACTGATCTTACCTTCATGTTCCTTTTCTGTGGTTCCTACTTTCTTGATTTTCTTGGGAGATTTCATGAAGAGAGGGAAGATGGTTCGCAAACCTAAGATGTCAACAAATTTATGGCAGTTGTCAGTGCCCTCAGGTCCAATCATAGCATGATCCAATACCTTCAGGGCACTACTTCGAGAAATCTTCTTTTCCCTAGAGAAAGAAAGGGTTTTTGTAAGACAAAAAACCAAAAATAATCAATCTGAAGGGGCCATGTAAAAATGCCCAAAGGAAAGCCACGGAACAGCATTTATCTAATCCTCTATTTAAAGTGAGAGCTCCTTTGTATGGTAGCAAAGAATTGGAAATTGAGGGGACGCCCATCAGTTGGGGAATGGCTGAACAAGGTGTGGTAAATGAATGTAATGGAATACTATTGTGCTACAAGAAAGGATGAACAGGCTGACTTCAGAAAAACCTGGACAGACTTACATGAACTCAGACTAAGTGAAATCAGCAGAACCAGGAGAACACTGTACACAGTAACAGCCACATTGTGTGATGACTGACTTTGACAGACTCAGCTCTTCTCAGTAATACAAGAATCTAAGACAACTCCAAAAGACTCAAGATGGAAAATGCTATCCACATCCAGAAAAAGAACCATGGAATCTGAATGCAGATGGAAGCATACATACTATTTGTTCTCCTTTTCTTCTGTTGTTTTGTTTTATTTTTTCTTCCTTGTGATTCCTCCCATTAGTTCTAATTCTTCTATACATCATGACTAATGTGAAAATATGCTCAATATGAATGTATAAGCAGAGCCTATCCCAGATTGCAAGCTGTCTTGGGAAGGGGAGAGGAACGGGGGGGGGAGAGGGGGGTACAAAATTTAAAACTCAAAATCTCATATAAGTAAATGTTGAAAACTAAAAATAAATTATTTTTAAAAATTTTAAATTAAAGAAAAAAAAAAGTGAGAGCTGCCTAAACAAGGTTCACAGAAAGCTTCTGCAAATCATTTGACCTTTCAGAGACTCAAAGGAGGTGACTGAAAGAATGTTACCATCTCTGAGGGATTAAGTTGAGAGCCACTCAACAGGCAAAGGTATATAGGTGGGCTGTAACACTTTACCAACAAGGAATTATGCAAAAGAAATAAAGAAAAGCATGTCAGAGACCTGGAAAACAAGAGAAGGTGAGCCAGTCACGTGGACTAAGGGAGGAGTGACTGAGAGACAACATGCACACTCCTCAGTACTCATACAATGTCAGGAGACAGAGAACAAGTTCCCTGGCAGAGTGAGTGAATCCATGGACAAGAGCCACACAACTTAGGAAGGTGTGGTTAGGTCATGATCTGTACTGGTGCAGCAAGTAAGCATATCAAGGAGATCACCAACCCATCCAAGTACTAAAGTATACAACTAAACGTGAAAGGTGTAGTACTACCTCACTCCAGGAGCTGGAGTAGTCAAGGAGAATACTTAGTTAATGAAGAATTTACCTTCTGAATGTTGTCTCTTGTAACAATACTAACGTAGCAAGTTACAGTTTCAAAGCTTATAAATATTTCATTTGTTCTCTGTAATGGTCCTACACAGGACAGTTACGATAATCACTATTTTACAGGAGAGAAAACTGAGGCTTATCAATGCCTGCCTCCAAGATCAAGTAGCTAGCAAGTGGCAAAACTGGAACATAACCCAAGTCTCTTCACTCTTTTCAAACCCAGCCAGGCCAATGGTTCATCCAGCAGAGTATTCTGTCTCAGGAGGTAAGACAACAAGGCAGTTTGTAAGAGGGCATGATAGTGGACCCCATGTAAAAAAGTTAACCTTTCCAATTCCCCTTTATTAATTCCATGTGGATTGATTAAAATGATCAACCAATACTTTCCTATCTCCATCAACAGCTGCAACATAGTGGAAAGAACACTAGGATCATGGAGCTGACTTGAGGTCTAATCTTAAGCTTTGCCACCAACTTGGGTGTGACCTTGGGTGACTTCTCCCTCTGTGAAATTTTATACAGGAGTTCAACTAGAAAATTTCCAAGGGCCTTCCGATGCTACTATTCTATGAATACTTGAGTTTCACAAGTTTAGTACAGAATAGACAAGGTTCTAAATCTAAAAGAAAATGTGGCATGCCCCAAAAATATAACACAACTGAAATTCTAACTTGAAAGCTGGATAAATTAATGTGTTCAATCCCATACACCACTGTTGCTGTTGTTCAATTGTTTCAGTCATGTCCGACTCTTCATGACCCCATCTGGGGTTTTCTTGGCAACTGGAGTGGCTTGCCATTTCCTTCACCAGCTCATTTTACAGATGAGGAAACTCAGGTAAACAGGGTAAACCCAGGGTTACACAGCTAGTAAGTGTCTGAGGCCAGATTTGAATTCATGAAGATGAGTTTTCCTGATCCTAAACCCAGTGCTCTATCCAAAGTATCTACCTGCTCCCCCTTCCCATGTAACTAGTTTAGCATTTAACTTGATATGAGATGAAATATTATTATTTCCTTCAGATTATTACTATAATAAGACAATCAACATGAACAGAAATTAAGAAATTGGTATAGTCTGTCCCTGTTGTCCTCATTGTTCTCCTGTGTGGGCAGACACCACTTGAAATGAATGCCTATCACAAAATAGGGCATTTTCGGTTACATGTTCACCACGCATTCAAACCACTCCATGAACAACACAAAATTATTGCATGCATTAAAATGAAAGCCACCTATCTAGTGAAGTTTCTCTCATTTTCTGGCCTAGGTAAATTTACCAAAAGAAAACTTTAAAAACAAAGCCCTTTTCCAAGGAGGCAATATAAGGAACATTTAAAGGGACAGTAATTGTATATTGATCACCATTTAAGCAACCTGCAGAGAAGTGAACTCTGGAATATTCATTAGTCTTAAGTTCAGGCTTTTAGTGATCAATAGCTGTTTGGCTGGACTATCATGGGTTGACTTTATCTGAAATATTTATTCTACTGGGGCACAAGCAGTTTATCTTAGTCTCGCCTGGGTTCATCAAGTTGTCTTTCATTCAACTACCAATTCAGAAACCAGCCTATATGACTTGAAGCGCTTGTAGAAATATCTCAGAGAAACATTTCACTGATGCCTGTTTTCCTTCCTATTATACTTTTGGAGGGGAAAAAAGTTCATTTTTTTCTGACTGGCTTGTTCCAACCGTACCATGGTCTCTGCAATGAACCATGACCTCTTTTCGTACATCCATTTACTGTGATGTTACCATATCTCACAGTTGACTAATATTCAAGAAGTGCAGACAGCAATCTATGAGATTAATCTTACTTGATGCATGACATAGGTCTTTTAAAGCTTACAAATAAAAGTTGCCTTTCATTTTCAGATTCCAAAACACATCATTTCCCAGGCAAGACACCAAGAATTTAGTTGAACCAAGACTATAAACATCTACAAACAGAACTGGAAAAATATCCTGGCTTTTGACTCACTCTACCAATGGGTTCCCCTTACACTTGACTGGGAATTAAGATTACATGGAAGGTTCATTATCAAGGAAAATAGTTAGTTCCAAACCACTAGACCCTAAATCATCCCCTCACCATGAAATCTCGATTCAGTAACTGTGCCTCACAGCCATCACAGTTTCTCATTTGTGAAATGGCTAAGCCAGCCTCGAGGGCTGTTGGAAGGATTACTTGATGTTTGTGGAGTGTTTTCCTGATTCCTAGCTAACAGGTGCAAACTATTACTATCCATCCAGGAGAGAAAAGAGCTACTCAGCTGGGGAAGGGGGTAGTGGGAGGAGAAGAAAGGCAACATTTGTTGTTGGTGGAACAACAAACAGACCTGTGTGCACAGCTTGGAGCACAGAACTGTAGACAGTCCCATCAGGAAGGACGACTCACTTCAAAGAGGTTTGGATTGCTATTATCCTTGTGCACCTGAATCCTAGGGGAAGTGAGACTAGAAAAGAAGGAGCCCCTGATTTTTTTTTTAAATGAAAACATTACCAAAAACAATTCAATATAACAATTTGGCTTGTAGCTCATTCAAAACAAGACCCCATAAATAAAATCAAACAAAAACCACACAACCTAGGCTAAACTTTTCAACATTAATCTATGTGCTCTGACAGAATCACACAGTTCAAAACAATGGGAAAGATTTATTTGTATATAACATATCCACTTTATTCATTTTTCCTCTATCAGGAAGGGCTTTTTGCATGGTAACAAAAACAACACAAGCACCTCAGAATACCAACAAAACCCCTATCATCCTCAGAAAGGAAGTACTGAGCCATCTTCTCTCCCTTTTTTGCTTTCAGTTAATATCTGAGACAGGTTCACTGCATTTCTGCTACACAACCAAAAGATGCTTCTGTACACATCCCTTGGGAACAGAGTAGTCTCTTCTCTCTCTAACTGGAACAGGGTTTTACAGCAAAAGTAATAAGCCTCATGTCAACATTTTCAAGGAAAGTGACAATGTAATTCTTCTATTTTTCCCCTCCTTTGTTGCTTTAAAAAACAAACCAAAAAAAACCAAAAACAAAAAACTACTTAACACCTATTTTACTCCAAGGACATATTATTTTAAGGGTTTTATGTTTGTAAGAATTGAGTGATTTGGGGAAATACACTTTAATGAAGCCTGGCATTTCTGAACCTTTTTTCTGTGGCAACTATCTTAAAGACCCTTGACATCTGCAACCAACATGCTCGACTTAAGAGTCAAGAAGAGCTGAATTCAAATCCAGCTTCAGACACTTACACTTACCTGTAAGACCCTGGGCAAGTCACTTAACCACTTATTGCCCCAGTTTCCTTCAACTGTAAAATGGGGATAACAATAGCACCAACTTCGCAGGTTTGTTGTAAGATCCAAATGAAACATTTATAAAGCACTTGGTACAGTGCCTGGCACAAAGAATGCACTTAATAAATGCTTCTTAAGGACAAAACATCCAGCTGCATTCAGTGGCAAAGAGCACATCTTCTAAAACTTAATCTCCTGCTGCACCTCAACTGCTATTTTCCACCTTTGTCTATAAATGCATTTTTGTTTCGGTCACTGTAACAGGCCACCAAGATTTTGGGGAGCTTTTAAAAACTGCACAAACTTAATTTCCCCACATGTGAATACTGTCCCCAAATCTGCCACCTGCAAAAGTATCAATCAGTCCTTTGCCACTGTGTGGAGGCA